AATAGCATCTTCCTGATTAACCCAGGAGCCTCCCCTTTTCTTGTCTTCTGCCTCAGTGTTAACGGAGGACAGCTTCACAGTGGTGCGGAAATCCCCAAACAGGACATAAGATGTGCCTCTTTCTACTCTTTGTCTGTATTATGCTTCAGCTTTCAGGATGCATATTGAAGGGGATAGTGGTTCTTCTGCCCTTTGCTTAGCACATTTTGGGTGCTCAGTTGCCATTACATTTCCCTCCCTATAATCAGTCATGATTTTTTAAAATAGCATTTGCTTTTGCTCACTGCCTTTGCTCTAAAATAGTCCTCAAGACATGAAACTACTGCCAGAGAAGTGTGGTTATTTGGCAATGGGAAGATTTATTCTTTGGTGATTTTGCTGAAAACACACACACACACACACACACACACACACACACACTTTTATCTCCTTAGGAAAACATTGATTTTCCACAGGCAATAAATTAAGTGATGGCCTTCTTTTACCAACCTAAAGATTAACTAGCAAATATCTCTTTAAACCACTCATGTTAGTACTAATTCAGAGTGGCACCTGGCTCTGAATTCCAATCACACAGCCAATTATAATTCCAAGCACTGACAGAGCCTATTAACTCTACTTTCTGCTCTCAGCGAAGAGCTTGGCTCTCTCATGCAATGCAGTCTGAAGCATCACCGATGTTGCCTCTTTAAGCAAAATGGAGTTGGGGCAGTTCTCAAAGAAAGGCCAGTAATGTTAAGCTAGCCAAACCTGAACATGTATGGTTAACTGTAAATCAAGTTCACCACACCTGGTCTTCAAAGATTCATAGTGATCTCTACTTGCAAAGAAGCTTTTACTGCAATTAGGCGCAGGTGAATCTGTCCATTTTGGTTTCTCTCAGATTCTCATTTTCCCAAGCTTCAGTTCTCCACATTTCCATTTTTATATTTTAAAAAATCTCATGAAAACTCTTCAGCATTTTAGTGTGAATTTTAAATATATACCTTCTTGTATGCAAGCTTGACGAATAGACATATTTTTGCAAAGCAATTTTCCCCTAAAATAATGATTTTTTTTTTTGTCTATTGCTTTCATTAGTACGCCTTTTAATGCACATTTTACCCTACTACTGGCTGGAGAACAAAATTCAGAGAAGTGCAAATTTCAAAGGATGGTTGTGTTCACCATTTTGCTAACTCTGCTATGAGAGAGTAAAAATTTCTCTTCTAAAGCTTTCTCTCCAGCAAAACCTGGTCCTTGTGAAAGCACAGGTCCCTTACAAAACTGGGATGCCATACTGCACCTGTTGAAATTCCCTCTTCCCCCCAACTACTCTACTGAAGGCGCAAGAGTGATCTTGACACCCTAAGGTGCAGTCCATGGTGCCTATGGATTTCACAAAGCTGCATAGGAATGACTACAAAGCCCTGGCTTTAGGACCAACATGTCTGGACTGACTGGTCATGACAAGCTGTACCTGTTGAAATTTCCTCACCTACACAACTATTAAAGGTGAGGGAGGCCTGTCCTTTTCTCATCTGGCTACCACGGTTCCTATGCCTTTGTTAGTGATTGCTAGTAGAAGACCAGATGGAACTACTATTAGAATATTCCTGCAAAACTACAAATATTCAAGCCAGGGTTTGAGTTGTTCAGATGTCCGCCAATGAACCCTGCTGGGAGCAATATTCATCGAGGCAAGAGTTCCTGGAGAAATCCACCACTGCAAATGTAAGGCAAGGATGTGTGGTGGGTTACAAAGGGAATAAAAAACCCCTTCCCTTGTTTTCTGTCCCATCACCTCCTCCTACAATGAACACTCACTGGTCTCCACTTGTCTGGCGAACTGATGCATTCTTTAGAAAACTATGTAAGATGCTGCCAGACTGAAGTGCATCTTCATTATTTGCAACAGTGTCACCAGCTCTGAGCTCAGTGCCAGCTACAATTAAAATCCACATTTTGTGGACAGCAGGTTCTTCAATTAATCATATGCAGTATTTAATCCTCCCGTTTAAATTTTTAAGATCTTCTTCACTGATGACATTCTTTAACCTCGATCTCTGAGCTCTAACAACTTGTTTCTAATCATATGGTAACAGTCTCCCTCTTTGGATGCCTGGATTATCTGAATAATTCAAAATAGTCCTCGGTGCTTCAGTGCTTCAGTTTCCAGGTCCTTATTTGCCCCAATACAGGCATTTGTCTGTGGAGAACCTAAAAGACACCACCAGAACCATTTACCAGCTATAAGATACATTGCTCAACCCTATGTGTGTTTACTCAGAAGTTAGTTCCAGTTAATTCAATAGGACTGACTCCCAAGTAGGTATACATGAGACTTCAGTTGTGTTTATTGAGGTAGAACAGCATTTGGATCAGGTAAAATAGTTTGTAGTGTGCTGCTTTGAGTAGATTGTTATAAACCAGCCAAGTAAAGAACATTCAGGGGGAATATTCTGAGCCATGATGAGCCTCAATAAACAAAGCAATGAAGAGCTGGAAAGATTTCTATAATATTCTAGAATCATAAATATATAAAATTAACACTAGTATTACATGGAAGTTCTGGTGAGAATAAAAAGGGTTCTGGTTTCACTCCAACAAATTAAATAAAGCACCCTGCCATGACATTAAGGTGTTTTCTTTATAAGTTATTTAATACAATTTTTAATTACAATAATGGCTTGAAAATAATTAAAGCGAGATTAGAGCCAGGTTTATTTGCAATATCATCTTGTGTCGTCTCTGTGATCCTGAAATCTTGAAACAGTTATGGATATTATTTTTGTTTCTTCAAATGGTTCTTTCAGTAAACTGAAACCTGATAGAATCAAGGTGAATGCGGTTAGATAGATTATAGATAGCCAGCTAACTTCAACTATTTTGCACCCCATCTTGGTTCACCCCAATACCAGTTCTTCAATTCTTTTGCCCCCAATTAATTTATCAGCAGATACATTCAGTTCCCTTTCAGTTGTTCCCATTCATCACCCTCAAATCATATTTAAATAAAGCCATCTCATATTAATTTATTAATCCAAATTGATTTCATACCCAGTAAGCTAGACCAAACATACACATACTCAATCAATCGCCCCCAGATTCATTACCCACTCAGAAACAAGGCACTTTGAAAAAGATTTTGGGCCATGCTCCATAGACCCATCCCTAAGAACACCCCAAACTAAAATGATATACCACTGCTGTGTTCAATGTAGCTGTTGTTATGTATTCAGTGGTATTTGGTTGCCTGAGCTTGAGTCTGGACTAAGGAATCTGAGCTCCTGTGTTCTGATTCGATACATGATGTCCGATCACAGAACATTTCAGGATTTGGGCCTCTGCCACTGGCCCTTGAACTATGAGTCGTGATTCGCAGTTTGGAAGTTTAGGCAGCCAATCACGTTGGGAGTGGGAGTGGCCCAGGCTTTCAGGAATGTATATAAGCAGTTGCTTTGCCTCTGTTTCCCAGTTATGTAGTTCAATAAAGGTTCTTGCTGTTATCACTGTATCCTATCCTGATTTCTCTCCACCCCTTTTGTTTAAAGTGTTGCCAGCTAATGGTACCCTCCTGCAGCAGGGCAGGACTTTACACCCATCCATTCCATAGGGATGGCTTAGGACACAACATGATCCTTGCACTACATTGAGGCTAGCTGCTAGGGTAGCACTGGAGGAAATCACAGGCTTTTAAACGGGTTTTAAAAGTCTCTTGGTGAACAGCTATCCCTGAAGCTTGAGGAAAATGTGAAAATGCAAAGCAATGTGCTTGTCATGATATCACTTTAAAAATGTGGCAGAGTTTCTTTTAAAGCAGAGCACATTTCTTAACGTTCTCAGAGAAGGTTCATCTTCCGTTCGCATACATATCAACTTCAAAGGGAAGTTGCTGCAAGGTTTCCCCCTCCCCAACCCAGTACCTGATATTTTTCTTATGTGGCTTATCTGATGCTCATAAATTATCAATAGACAGTTGAAGCTATCCAGGTTCATGGAAGCAACCAGGTAATTATGTTTGTAGTTCAAAACAAGAGTTGTCAGTTTTAATTAGGCGAAGCTGAGGGGCACAGGGAATTTTAAATTCTATTGCCAGAACTTTTGACTGCATAGAGAAAAGTATTTCTAAATAACAGTACTAACACCAAATACCTAATAAAAAGCAGTGAAGGAATACAGGAAGGGGCACTGCGGGGGACTTTGAAAAGTTGGGGCGCAGGCTCATGAATCTATACATATAAATTAGTATGTGCAAATGTTATGCAAATTTGCACAGACTAATCTTAATAGTCTGATTTCAGAGGGAAAATACAAACTTTGGCTGTCAGAGCTTACTCTGAGCTCTGGGGGTGTCAACAGGATTTGGGGGCCCAGTATACTGCATCTAGCCCACTTACTATCTGTTGGCAAGAACGGTGGATTAAGTACATCTGCAGCCTCAGCTGCAGCAAAACATGTCTCTCCCATATTGGTCTCTACAGTCACAACAGGCGCTATAACCTCCCAATGGTTTGACTTCACCCACAAAGGCACACTTCTCCATTGTCTCCCGAGACAGATGGATGCCAGCGATGAATGTGGAAGACGAGGGATGGAGAACCTCAGAGGTTGCCCATCGGGTTGTTTTGGGTGTGCCATACCCACCTTTCTTAGGTCTGATGTCATATATGGCATAACACGTGGGGAAAATATTACCGTATTTTTCGCCCTATAGGGCGCACCGGCCCATAGGGCACACCTAGTTTTCATGGGGGGAAATCAAGGAAAAAAATATGATTCCCCCCCCCCCCGCAGCTCTGGGAGCAGTGGACAGGCTGCACGCAGCCTGTGCGCTACTCCAAGACTTTCTCCCTGATTTTGCGGGAGGTGGCGGAATTCCCCCACCTCCCGCAAAAACCCACAGCAGCCGCGCGCGACTCCTGCGGGCTTTTGAACCAGGAGGGAGAAGGGACTGAAACGGCCAGTCAGTCCCTTGTCCCTCCTTGGGGAAAAGCCCCCAAGAGCGCCATGCTCTTTAAAGGGTGTGCGGCATCCTGCAGGCTTTTTTACGAGGAGGGGGAATTTGCCCACCTCGTAGAAAAGCCAGCAGAAGCCGCGCACCCTTTAAAGAGCGTGTGGCTTCTGCGTGCTTTTCGACTCAGATTGTGGGGCTGGCAATGGGGGGAAGCGCTGCTTTCCCCCACCGCCAGCCTCAAAGAGCAGACTCTCCTGGCTTCAGCGAAAGCAACGCGAAGCCTCCGGAGCGCAGGCTTTGGAGCCTGCATTTGCCCCATAGGACGCACACACATTTCCCCTTCATTTTTGGAGGGGAAAAAGTGTGTCCTATAGGGCGAAAAATACGGTATTTTCCCAGCTTGAACTTTCAATGACCTGACATTGAGGGATTGACAGAGGAACTGCCTCGCTCGGTGTCAAAGGGCCCACCAAAGGGTTGGTCACATGTACATGTTGGGATGCAATAATTTCTCCTGTTCCTGCTAGATGTTATTGACCAGAAAGGGCAGCGAAAGGCAAAACAGAACAGCATCACTGTGTTATACTGTATATTACCAGGAAGGACAGGGAAAGAACAAGTGGTTTGTGTAGTGGTTAGAGCAGGCATAGGCAAACTCGGCCCTCCAGGTGTTTTGGGACTACAACTCCCATGAACCCTAGCTAACAGGACCAGTGGTCAGGGATGATGGGAACTGTAGTCCCAAAACATCTGGAGTTTGCCTATGCCTGGGTTAGAGTGTTGCAATAGGACTGGAAAAACCCACATTCAAACCCATGTTCATCTGGTGTTCTTGAGCCTGCCCCCCCCATCCCTCTATGCCTAACCTACCTCACAGGGTTGTTGTGAGGATAAAAATGGCAGGGGTGGCAGAAACAACCATGTATATAGGTATGTATGCAATCTTGAGGCCCCTGGAGAAAAGGCAGGGATATAAATGTAAAGAAAGACAAAGCAAGGGCATTTCATCATTTAAGAACACAGGAATCTGCCTTATACTGAGTTAGACCATTGTTCCGTCTAGCTCAGCATTCTCCACGCTGTCAGGCAGAGGCTCCCCAAGGCTTCAGGCAGGAGATCTGCCCCAGAACAATTGGAAGATGCTGTGGGTTGAACCTGTGACCTTCTGAATACGAAGCAGAGTTACAACCCTTTCTCAAGTTATTATCTCCTTCTACCTTTGCATGTTTCTGCCAGGGCTGCTTCTCTTTCCACATGTAACCCCATCACCTCAGGCTTTTCTGCTATAGCCCAAACGAGTCCTTATCCTGAAAATACTTACTGGAATGTGCCTTCTTGCCTAAGACTTAGCAAGCTGATAATGAGTCTCTTATTACTTTATGTGCATGGCTAGCTATTAAAGCTTATGAATACACAGTTCTTCCAATTTGATCATCCATCTGGCTTTCCCAAATCACAATGGGATAGAAATATCATATCTTTGTCCAGTTTGTGGCCTATTTATCACATCTACTCCTTCCCTCAAGAAATTGGGGGGGGGGGGCTTACATGTGATTATCCCACAATTACCCTGCTTACTGCCTAGACTACAAGATTCGGCTGTCTCCTATAACAGTACCTTTAATGTAGTGTTGCCGGACAGTTGTTGAGCTTTATTCTGCAAAATCGCAAAAAATTTGATAGATTTTAAGGGAAATTGGCAAAAATGACACTGCCAACAGTGGTTGCCATACGGTCGGATTTTCCTGGACATTTTACTGATTTCTGCCCAGACATTGCTTCCAACTGCAGTATTCTGGGTATGTCAGGGAAATTCCAGGTGTATGACAACCCTACTTTAATGATTGCCTTGTGTACAAGTGTTAATGCCCATCTCCTGCTTAATAATTCTGGGTTTTTTCTGGTTTGGTGGCAACAACATGACTTGCCCAAGGCCATTTAAAAAGCTTTGTGGGTGAATGGGCATATAAATCTGGGTTTACCTCATCTGAGGTCTACATTCCAGCCTCTCTTGCTTCTCCTGTAACAGCCCACACACCCATATGGCTTTTGTTTTCCTTCTGTTTCGTTCCTTTTTAGAGCAGTGTTGCTCATCAGATGCTTACATCTTTATATAATAGTCCTATTAGCCAAGTCACTTTCCTCCATGGTCTGTAGATACTGCAAACTCTGGCCTTCTAAAAACAAACCAACCCAAACCCCCCACACAATTGTCCCAGCAAATTACTTGGGCAAAGCTATTACTCCTGTTATGCCCTGGAAATCTAGGGTTACTCTCTGGTGGGGGGACAAGGCATCATGAGCAAATTATAAAAATATTTGATTGACATTTTTTAAACCTTATGGCCCACTTTCAAATTCCCACTGAACTCAATTTAGACACCCTCGTTCCCTTACTGATACATGGAGGCATTACAAGACCTCTGTGATACGAACATTCAGTCGGAATTGATCTTGGTGGAGTTCCCTCCTCCCTGCCCTGTCACAGAGCACTAAAGCTTACTGGCAGGTCCAGACAAAGGCAATGAGTATAACCTTTGTACTTTGAGACTGTGGATTAAATTGAAGAGACCTAGTCCTAAACAGGTTTTAGATGGAATTGGTTTCTTACATTTATTTTTTTTGGTCGCCATTTAGCAATTTCATACATATCCTGGGTGAGATATTGAATTATTCGTATTTTTATTGATTTGTAATACCTCTCACTTCTGCAGGAGCAGGAAAGAAGAGGGAAACTGACAAAGGGAGAATAATGGAGCTTCCTCTCCATTCACAGCCTGCCAAGCGCAGCAGGCTGGCAGCAGACTATGCAGTAAGGCTGCAGAAAGCAGAATGTGGACCGGCTGCTGTGTTCTAGTTGGCTGCTGGGAGCAACACTGTATAACGTGGGCAATGCTGCTTACATTGCCTAGAATGCATTGCCACCCCCTCACAACACCATTGGCGAGAAGCACACTGCTTGCAGACTCAAACATGAACAGTGAAAGCAAGGGGAGGGTGGTAGCTTGGTTGTGTTGGGCCTCTGCACATGCCCCAGAACTAGGTCACTGTTTTGACTTAGAAGATTGGGCCAACCACCCAGTTATTGAACTGCTGCTAAATATCTGTAGATGACTGAAACCTCAAATTCATAGATCATGGTGGAACTCAGGAAACGACTCCCTTTCACTCCCTCTTCATCTCTGATCTTTCCTTGTTTCCAAATCTCACTGCCTTCCAATCCTTGCATCATCCAAACCCCAGTCATCCTGGCCATATCTAGATTTCCACAATGCAACCCTGCTGGTCCCCTAGCAGCCCACTCCATGGATAGCCATCTCCATCCTCCAGCTACCTCTATTGCTATCATAGCAACAGCTTAAGCAAGCTATTTGTCTAGACAACGTGTATTTAGGTAGACTGTATATGAACTTTTAACAATGAACCATTTTGCTCAGGGCTATCTTGACCACAGGTGCCAGGGGTGTGGGGCACCCGGGCGGCGGGCTCTCAGGGGCGCCAGGCCGAGAGTCCGGTGCCCAAGAGCTGGAGTCTGGGAAAGAGCCCGCCTGTCAGTCGGAGCGCCGCGGTGGGCTCTTCTGCTTCAGGCGGCTCTGCGCCGTGAGTTCGGGGGCATGCGAGGCAGTGAGGTGCTGAGATGGCTCTGGCCATCTGGGATTGGTGTAGGGCTGTGGAAAGGCCCACCTAGTGCATGCTGCTTACACCATGAGGCGCCCGGCTTCACTCAGTCGCTGACACCTGGTTTGTTGCGCTGGGCTCCTTATGTTTCCTGTTTTCTTTTCCTGAGCAGAGATAAGCATGGTGTCAGCTCCCTTAAAAAAGGTCAACAACTTGGGGGTAGCTCCCCTTAAAAAAGGTTGACAACTCTGGGCAACCTAGGGGCACCAGATGGATCTTTGCACCCCAGCGCCACATATGCTTAAGATGGCCCTGATTTTGCTATTTTATTCTACGGTATTCAGCACTTCAAGTCAGAAAGTCATTTTACTGAGTGTCCGCCATTTTTAATCAAAACCTATTTCATCTGCTCTAAGTAGCAATGCCGAGAGTCTCAAGAGCTGTGCTGTGTTTTGGTTTGATCTCCACAGCTCAATAAAACATTGACAAAATGGAGAAAATGTTGTGGGTGAATGAAATATGGGTTAGAAGAGAAGGGGAAGCTGAAGAAGCTGAGTATGCCTAGACTAGAGAGATGAAGATTAAACGTGAAGAGATATATGTATATTAAAGGATTCAGAGGGAGTTGGAAAATAATCTCTACACCCGCTGAGGAAGCAATTGGTTTAAAAGTGCAGCCTGTCTGCTTAGATGCTTACCACACCGCAGTGCTGATGGGAGAACAATTCTTCACTGAAGTGTCTCCCTCCCCAACCACAACACAATCTGACTGGTGTTATCTGCGCTAAAACCCCACAGATAAAGGTGAGGATATAGGGTTACTGAGCAAAGACTGCATTTCTTTGAAGGGCAGCAGATTTCTTTGCTTCACCTCATGATGCTAATAAGAGTGAAGATGGAAATCCTGGCAGATTAGTCACAGTAATTATCACCCATGAGCAGAGCCAATTGTTTGCTTTGCCTCATTGGCATATTGTTAAAGCTTTTTATTTTCATTTTTTAAATGATCTCACAGTTTCAAGATTGTGTGCACCAGTGTGGGCGATATTGATATAGAAATGAAATGCTGATAAGACAAGCATACCATCTGGAACTTTATGGGTACCTGAAATGTACCACTATGAGCCAAGTCTGCTACTTGAGTGAAGGGAGCTCCAGATTTATTGGTTTATGGTTTTTGCTCTTGTTTTCATCATGAATTTTTTTGTTTTATATTGTATATCTACAGTATACAAATGGTAATAATAATAATAATAATAATAATAATAATATGATCCAAGCATTGCAATTCAACCCCCACCATAATAGATCTCCAGGTTGAGAAGCCAAGGAAATTCCCCACAACCCCATTGCCCCTCCGTCATGTAGAGGGAGAGATTCCTTCACATGGGAAGAGTGTGAACGTATGGTAAGAAGAACACAGACTATGCAAAGTAAGCTATGTTTATGAGATATAGACAAAAATTACACAAAATAGGAGCCAAACAACTCCTACAGTGCAGACATGCACCCAGCTGCAACACTCATGCTG